TGCTAAGGATTGCTTTGGCTATTCTGGGTCTCTTAGTTTTCCAGATGAATTTCATGACTGCCTTTTCTATTTCTATGAAGAATGTCATTGGGATTTTAATGGGAAATGTCAGGAGGTAAACTTTTAAGGATTTTTAGCATTTAAAACATTTTGCAATAGCATCTTTATCAGTCCTGGGGATGGAACCCAGGGGGGCAAAACCACTGAGCCACATCCACAGTCTTCTGGGTGGAAATGGCATTTAGGAGCCACGTTCTGGGTCCTCGTTGTGCTAATTCATACTGTGGGAGTCAGTGGAGCGCTGGGCAGTTTGTGTGTGTGTGTGTGTGTGGTGTCTGCACCCACACCCAGGTTTGCATTCACATCTGTTTTCATATTTATGAGGATTGGTAACTGATATCTCTAATTCCAATCAGATGCCCCAAGGTCTGTGCTAGCCTCCCCCCCACCCCCACATGGGTATCCTTCTTCACAAACAGTGATAAAAATAACCCTCCCTGTATTTACTGATTTGCTCAGTCTTTGACTCATCTCCCAACTCTATGGGGCCACAGCCTCACTTGGACGCTGTCCCTCATGGGCCCTGACCGCTGAGCAGCTGCCTTCTCACCTTGCCCCTGCCCCCTGCCCTATGAACATTCCATTCACTTCTGTTTTATGAGCTGGGCCCTTGGTTTTCACCCCCTACCTCATCGAATATGTTTTTTTCTTTCATTTCTAGTACACTTCTGAGTTTTAACACCTCACTTGTGAGATTTTCTGATCCCAATTTAAGATGATTTTCTATCTTTTAAAAAATCTTTCTAGGAGTGCATTTTAGTTCTACATACTAGTGGGGTATCATATGGGTCATGTCATGTTCTTACAGAGCTTTGAAATAGTAGGTCACGGTTTTGTTCCACTTCTATTCTCCTGGGGAGCCTGTGGGCACGTTATCCCGTCTTCTGCTAACTCTGAATGGGATTTGATTGCTTGTACGTGTTAGCTACTGCTGTTTTACTACATCACCCTAAAACACAGTTGCTTAAAAGAAAATTATTTATTATCTTGCAGGTTATGTGGATCAGGATTTTAGGAGCAGCAGGGTTCCTGGCTCAGGGTTTGTCCTGGGCCACAGTTAAGATGTTGCCTGGTGCTGCTATTGACTAGGATTGGAGGATCCATTCTGAGAATAGTTCCCTCCCATGGCTCTTGGCTGGAGGCCTCAGTTCCTCATCATTGAGGTCTCCTCATAGCCCTTTGAGCATCCACATGACATGGCAGTTGGTTTCCCCCAGAGGGAGTGATCCTAGAGAGAATAAAAAGGAAAGCCGCAGTGCTTTTTATGACCTAACCTCCAAAGTTGTGTATGGTTACTTCTTCCATATTCTGTCACTGAGCCTAGTCTACACTTATGGAGAGATGGAATCATGCTCCATCTTTTGAAGAGAGTATTATCAAAGCATTTATGGGCATATTTGAAAACACTGTATCTTTTCTCCTTGCTCATTTTTATAAGAAATTAATTTTCTTGGTCTTTTAGAAGGAGGTGTATTTCAGGACAGTGTTTATAACCTCACAGATCTCCCTAATTCTAATAAATAGCAAGTACTGAGTGGGCCTAAAATATATATTCATGGGTGAGAGTCTGTCTAGAAGCTGGTTTTGACCAAAAGTCTCTAACCTGTGTCTGGTCATGATCTCTGACCCTCACCAGCCCTGACTGGTTTGCTCATCTTTGAGCCCCGTAAGCTCAGAGTCATTTTTGATTCTGTATCTGAATATTCAGACCTTAGTACATTCTTGCTCCATGGCAGGTGTATGAGGTCAGCTATTACTATCACAAAATACCTGAGATAATCAAATTAAAAAGAGGGAAGGTTTATTTGAGCTTACAGTTTTAGAGGTTTCATCCATGGTGCGTTGGCATGATTGCTTTGGTCCTGTGGTGAGGCAGCACAGCCTGGTGGGATGATGTGGTAGAGGTAGCTGCTCACCTCATGGTGCCAGGACTTGAAAGAGAGGAAGAGACCAGGGTCCCATATTTCCCTCCAAGGATGTGCCCCCTATGATCTAGTCCCTCCTATGAAGCCCCGCCTCTTAAAGACTCCACCCCCTTTTAGTAGCACCAGGCTGAGGACCATGCCTTTAACAAGTAGGCATTTGAGGGACATTTCAGGTCCACACGATGATAGCAAGAGGTCAGTAACAACTTGCTGAATCAGGCAGAGCTGACCCTCTTGCCAAGGATACATACATCGGTGTGGGAGGCTGAAGGATGGCCTCCAAAGATGTCATCTCCTGATCCCCGAGAGCTGTGGACGTGTGGCCTCATCTCAAGAGGGATCTTATAGAGTGACTGAGGCTCTCGAGCTGGGGCTCCCCTGGGTCATCAGTGGGTCCAGTGTCATCCTCAGGCTCCTTAGAAGAGTGAGGCAGGAGGGTTGAGTCCGTACTAGGAGAGGTGACAACAGCATCAAGAGTTGAGTGACAAGAGGAAAGGGCCAGGAGCCCAGGAATGGGGCCCCCTTTACAAGCTGAGAAAGCAGGGCATGGATTCTCTCCAGAAGCCTGGGAGGCACGGCCCTGCTGACACCTCGATTTTAGCTCAGTGAGGCTGATTTTGGACTTCTGACCCCCAGTAGTGCTGGATGACAGATATATGTTGTCTGAAGCCCCTAAGTTTGTGGCCATTGGTTACAGCAGCCGAGGAGACCAATACACCTGAATGTCAAGACTGTCTTAGGACAGGGGACCAGATGCCCTTCCACTCCCCCACGAGGCAGGAGGCTTAGTGACGGAAACCCAACAACAACAGCAACAAATTGGTGCCAATTAATTTGTCCCTGTAGAGCTCAGGGTCACTCTGGGCCCAGCTAATGGACGTGATCAGGGACACCTCTCCTGATTTCTTCTTGTGAGTGGGCATCACCCACCAGATCCTCAGCTGAATCACAGCCACACAGTGCCTCCTGCTGCAGGAGGTGGGTGGCCAGGCAGCCCTCTTTCACCACGCTTACCCGCTAGAGAGCGAAGGCTGCATCCTGGGTGCGCAGGAGAGCTCCTGGGATGGTTCTCAGTGGCTCAGCTGGGTCATTGTCACGCTCCATCCAGGCCTGGGACATATGCCCACCTGCAGCCTGGTGGTGGTGGGGACCACACTCCTCTGGGCCAGAGGGACTGAGAGGCCAAGAAGAGAGGTTCCCCCACAACAAATTGGGAACATTCTTTTCATGAAAAGGGAGAATGGAGACCAGTGTGGGGACACCCGCTACCGTCACCCCGTGCTGTGGATCTTGGGATCCTAGAGTTCCAGAACCATCTTCCTGATGAATGTTGCTTGCTTTGAAATGCCACAGGCTTCTGCATACCCAAGGGTTTTAATTTTGTCTCATTTAATTATCTTTATCAAATATGTTTAAAATCACACAGATAATATACTCTGAGCCATTATTAAAATAATGCAAAAACTATACATAAAGAAACACATGACCGTGGAGCGCGGTGGCGCACGCCTGTCATCCCAGCAGCTCGGGAGGCTGAGGCAGGAGGATCGTGAGTTCAAAGCCAGCCTCAGGAATGGCAAAGTACTAAGCAACTCAGGGAGAGCCTGCCTCAGGGGTCAAGTGCCCCTGGGTTCAATCCCTGGGACCCCCCCCCCCAAACTAGAAGAAACACGTGACCATTTTCTGCTCCCCCCATTATAAGAGTCTTCCCATCCTAATTCAGAAGCTTGGAGTTTATTCTTCCACATTTTTTTTCCTCTGCTTGGGCCCATGTGTATTGCCTTTCTCTTGTTCGTGTTGGTTTTTATAAAACTAGCCGTGAAAAGTTCTCCTTTGGCATGTCTGGGCACTCTGCCAGAGACGTGGGTTCAGGCCCAGCTCATTTTAAAAGCAGTTGTTAACTTGTGACTACTCGGGAATGACTTAGGAGGGCACACCCACAAAATTCTCCCATCTCTATTCCCACCCTCCCTCCCACTTCCTGGAGGAGCAGGAATCCTCCCAGAGACAGACGCTGCATGTACAAAGATACATTGTAGACACACTTTCCACGGATTTATTTTTATTTATCAGTGTACCTTGGAAACCTATTTTATAGCTGCATAGAGTTCTTTGGGGTGGTGGTAGCATCTGATGAGTTTCCTCCGGATGAATCCTCAGAGTGTCTGCGGCCTTTTGCCTTTGCAAGCAGAACTGTAAAAAACCAGTTTTTTTTTTTTTTTTTTTCACGGACACACCTATTTTGTGCAGGGTGGATGTCTGCAGAATGAGTTTCTAGAAGTGGGTGTGTGGGGTCAAAGGCCATGTGCCATTGAAATGGGAGTGGATACAGCTGAAAGGCCTCCAACCAAAGGCCATGCCAGTGCCCATCCCCCCCCACCCCCGCCCCCCCTCCCCCCCTCCGCCCCCCCCCCCCCCCCCCCCCCCCCGCCAAAAAAGGAGTCTTCCTCTTTGCCCATCATCCGGATGGGTGCTATCTTGGTACTTTGTGTGTTGCTATAATAAAATACCAGAGGCTGGATACTTTATAAAGAAAAGAAGTTTATTTGGCTCATGACTGTGGTGGCCAGAGGGTCCAAACAGCATCATGCTGGCTCCCTCATCACATGGCAAAGTGGAAAGGGAACCAGCCACGTGCAGAAGGGACCAAACATATGAGGTGGCCTAGCTTTGTAACAACCCACTCTTGAGAGAGCTAACTTGGTCCTCTGTAGACATGAATCCCTTCTGAAGGTGATGGTCTCACGACCTCATGACCTTGTACCAGGTCCCACCTCTTAAAGAGCCAGCACCTCTCAGCATCATGACACTGGGGACCAAACTTCTGGCCTATGGGACGTTGGGGCACACACTCAAACACTCTCTCCACTTGGTAGCAGGTGGAGAACTGGATCTCATGGGAGCTGGGCCGAAGTCCCTGAATTGTAGATTGACAGGTTTGGGTGGGGGAGTTGCCCCCTCTGCTCCTCCTACGGTGCCTCTGAGACCTGTCCTTGTCCTCCTGTGTCTCTGCAGAGCAAGCTGGTGAAGTACTTCAGCCGGCAGCTGTCCTGTAAGAAGAAGGTGGCTCTGCAGGAGCGCAGCGCGGAGCTGGACGGCTTCCCCCGGCTCCGGCACTGGTTCCGGATCGTGGACGTGCGCGAGGAAGTCCTGGAGGTGACGGGGGCAGCCCTGGGTCCCTGCCCCGACTGCCCAGAGCCACCCTTCTGCTGCTCCTTGGGTGGCAGAGCTTTAGCACCGTCCCTAGTAGGTAGTGGGCCCTCAATAAATGTGCACCGGAGGAAGGCGCCCGGTCTCTCCTGTCTGAGCAGGATGCCACTTACTACAGAGTCACTTCAGCCAAGTCCCATGACCTGGAGCCCAGCCCTGTCCCATGGAATTTGCTGCTGTGATGAGACAGTTTGCTCGGTGCTGTCTGAGGCCACGGCCACCAGCCACTGCGCCTACTGGGCCCTGAGTGGTGGTCAACGCATGTGACCGAGGAACTGAAGTTTTGCTGGGCTTCATCTTCGTGTGGCCAGGGGCCGCCATATGGGATAGCCTACTCATAGAGCATTTGTCTCCCCGTCTGTTAAATGGGGGTCACCATCGCCCCTTCTTAAGTATCTGGCATGATGAAGGGAGGTGACCTGGGTAGAGTATTCCGCTCACGGCCTGGCACCTGAATGCACCCAGTCAATTTTAGCTTTTGGTTATTGTTATTGAAAACTTTGGATATGGGGGTTTCCAATGGCAAAACCAAGCCAGCACTTGATGCTCTGTGTCCACCATCAAGGCTGGGCTTCCTTAAGCTCTCAAGAACAGAGAGGGTTCTTTACCTTCTGGGATCCCAGAGCCTGTTCTTTCCAGGGACGGGTCATTCCTAATAAACCAGCTCACGCCCCTGAATCTTCAGTGCCAGGATCATCCTAAGGGCTTTGCAGGAAGAATCTCATCTGTTGAGACTATTCAGACTCCTCTCAGTGACCTTTGGAGTAGGTATGGACATTGTCCCCATTGTACAGAGTGAGAAACTGAGGCTCAGAGGTGAGGTGAGGTGTCCAGCCAGCGAGTGGGCGGGGCTGGCAGGAGAATCAAGCTCAGACGGTTGCGGTATCTTAGTGGGGACCCACTATGCTTTCTGCTGTAGCCTCCCTGAGCTGAGCAGAAGAGGGCGTCCCCCTGCCATGGGCCCATCTCCAGGATCTCCTCACTTCCTGCTGGAGGGAGCTTTGTTTTAGACCTTGTCCCCATGTAGCACCCCGAATTCCTCACCCCTTCCCCACCCGGTCTTGCCCAATGACCCTCCAGCCAGATGGGCAGGCACTTTTTGTTTGTCTGATATAATTGGTGCTCCCTTGATCTCCGACCCCCTGGGTCCCTGAGGCTCACTCCAGCTCTGGTTTTGCTCCTGGCCATTTACCTAACTCATTTCCGCCTTGGCCCTGATCAGCCCAGTCCAGGGTCCCAGGCAGGGGCTGGGGGGGAGCTGAAGTTCGGCTCTCTGCCTGCAGTTCATGCGTGTGTCCACCAGAGGTCCCCTTCAGGTGCAAGATGGGCCTTAGGAGAAAGCATTGTAGTTAGATGACCCCAGTTCAACTCTTGAATCCACCTCTCACTCGCTGTGTGACCTTGGGCGAGTGGTCTAACTTCTCTGCGTTTTAGCAGCCCAGTCTGTAAATGGTGATTATAAGAGACCCATATTTGTGACATGAAAAGAAAATCCATGCAAAGTACCTCAAACGGTACTCTACCCTCCCAGCTGCTATTATTATTATCATCATGATCCTCATCAAACTCTCTTGGCCCAGGTTCCTTAAGACTTTCTTCCTGTTAAGTGTCAGAAAAAATATTTTATGCTTTTTCTTTTTTTTTTTTTGTGATTCTAAATTTCAGTGCATATTGAATATACATATATTTTTAACTCGTGGGGTTAAAGTGCACGAGTGAGCCCCGTGGTGGAGAGGAGGACTCTTTTTGTGTTGTGGGTCATCTTCTCTGCTGTGATCCATCCCGGGCCTGTAGACCCCGGGTCCTCCCCTGTGTTGAAGTCGGGCTTACCTGCAATGTGCCTCTATTTGAGAAAGCTTCCAAGTTATTGTTCTTTCTGTGTCCCCTAGTCCACCACAGTGGCCGGAAAGGCACGGCTTGGTCCTTGGCTTTTGCTCTGCAGGTTTTTTTTGGGGGGGTGGAGTAGGAGTGAGGGGTGGTGGTGGGGGCGGATCTTGCAATTCCCCAGTTTCATGTGAAAAATTTGTATTTTGCTGTAATACACAGGTGTGGCCACAAGAGGGCAGAAAGAGTCTTCAATATTGCCCTGGCATCCACAGACTTAAAAGATCTTATTTAAATAATAATGTGTAAAGCCATTGGCTACCATTAAATGCTATAAATGAAGGCACATGCACATGCACATACTCAGAGATGTGTAAATTGCAGAGGTTCGACAATTTTGAGATGTATTTGTACAGGTTTGGGGGGGGGGGGTTGCTGATTGCAGAGGGGACGCCTCCCATCACATTTCTGTGGCCAACCCATATGTTCAGAGGTTCCCCTTCCTGCACCCCACAATTCCTCAGCCTTACCACTGGGCCACGGGATGCAAAGCCCTGCTCCATGGTGCTCAAACACCAGCCCTGGGCTGTCCACGGACTTCTAGCCTCTTTTCTCCCCAAGACCCGTGGCTGGGGTGGAGAGGATGGTGAGAGTAGGGGGCAGCTCGGCGGGGGCTTGTTCTGAGTTCTCGTGGGATTTGGTGGAGTTCCTGCAGTCCAAGTCCAGCAGGAGGCACCGAGGGACATGGACAGAGAAACAAAATGGGGCCCTGCTTCATGAGAGTTCAGAAGACAGATAATCAATCAACCATTGCTCCTGTGCAATGCTGACGGTATATGAAGCATAGAGGGAGCTTACCCAGTGTGTGCACTTGGGATCCCATTTTATAGGTGATAAAAGTGAGGCCCAGAGAGGTTGAGGAACTTGTCTGAGGTTATCTCAGTAATGAGTGGCAAACCCGAGATTCAAACCCAGGCCCCTCTGACCCCGGATTCCCAGATCTCAGCGAAGCATTTGCACCAGGCACCCCTAGGGGGCAGCGTGGAGGCCCTGGGTGCGCTGCTGAGTCTCAAGGCGCTTGAGACCCAGCTGACGGTTGTCTGTCCTCGCCCCTAGGAAATCTCCCCGGGTCAGCTGAGCCTGGAGGACCTCCTGGAGATGACGGAGGAGCAGGTGTGTGAGACGGTGGAGAAGTATGGAGCCAACCGGGAGGAGTGCGCCCGCCTCAACGCCTCGCTCTCCTGCCTCAGGAACGTGCACACGTCAGGTGAGCGGCGCAGGGGGGTGCACACCGCGCAGGGGGGGTGTGGAGCGGCTCCCAGGGCGGCTGCTCCATCCCTCTCTCCAGATCCCTGCGCAGGCCGCGACCAGAAGGTCCACCCTGGAGCCAGCAGAGATGCGCCTGCGATTTGGAGGCTGGGAGAAGTGGACCAGCGGTTCTTGAGTTTGAACTTGAGCCTGCTGGGGTTATAAGGCGTCTGGTTCTGGAAATACCTACTAGGCATAGGAGACCAGGGTCTTTTTATCTTGGATATTCTTAAGTGCCACTTGGATATTCTTAAGTGCCACTGTATTTTGGGTCATTGTCTAGCTGCTGCTGCTGCTTCTTTTTTTTAAAAAATATGTGTATTTTTTTAGTTGTTGATGGACCTTTATTTTATTCATTTATTTTTATGTGCTGCTGAGAATTGAACCCAGAGCCTCAGACATGCTAGGCAAGTGCTATCCCACTGAGCCACCATCCCAGCCCTGTCTAGCTTCTTATTTTCTTACATATATGCCGTGTGTTCATTGTAACATAAACCAGAATGTAACACCTGGGGTCCCATCCTGTAGGGACCTGACATCATTTTGGTGTGATTTTTTTGGTATAATTCTTCCTAACAAATGGATATGTGTATATACTTTCTCTAAACATTAGGATTGAGATTATTTATACATAGTATTTTGAAATTATATATATGTATATATATGTGTATGTGTGTGTATATATATATATATATATATATATATATATATATATATATTTCTTTTAACCTATAAGATAACTTCTGTGACTTGTCTTAGCAGTTTAGGGTCCAAATACATGGTCATCTCTCCTGGATCTTTCCAGTTAATTGGCCGGACACCTGTTTGTCTTTATTAACATAACATCAATTATCAGTCTCTTATTGTTTTCTCTCCTATCTGGGGCTCTTTAGTTCCCAGGGGTCAGGTCTGCAAATACCAGACAGAGAAAAGGATTATTGGCCTCCAGTGCTGTCGTTCTGGTTCTCACCACAAGGTGTCACTGTTGAACACCAGTCCTGCTGCATCTGATGGCCACTTGGTCACAGACGCTCTTGTGGGATTCAACATGCAACCTGCCGGTGTTTATTGAGGGACTCTTATGTACCGGAAATGGGGCGGGATCCAGAACTGAACCAAACAGAGCAAAAGGAAACAGGTCCTGGGCCCAGATGCCCTGCACACGCCCTTTAGCTGTCTGTCTTGCCAGCAGGTCCTGATCCAGGCTATGGTGAGCATCCAACCCATCGGTTGAGAGCTGTGCTGTGGGATGGAGGATGCTAGTCAGCAGCATCCCTGATCTCTTCCCAGCACATACCAGTAATGTCCCCCTTGGACTCCCGTCATGACAAGTAGCAATGTCTCCAGCTCTTTCCAGATGTCCCCTGGAAGGCAGAGGTCCCCCCCGCCGACTCTCCATCTGGTCCTGTTGTTAGGTACCTCTGGCCCCATGCTGTTGACCATCAGCATGGTGAAGAGGCACCTTTCCGTGCATAGTGACCTGCTCCAAGGTGACTCCCGCCTCCACCTGTGGCGAGAAGCCGAGAAGCCTCAGGTAGTTCCCTCTCTTCTAAGAAACCGCAGGGACCTTCAATGTTACATCACAGTCATCCTCCTTTGTCCATAAATGCATTTCCTCCCACTTTGCCTGAACACTAGCACCCCGAATTCGACCAGGAAGTGTCTTGGGAAATGTAGGTCGCATGCACATTTTCCCTATCCTAAGCGGCGCCATCTGCAGCATAGCTCTGGCTGGTTTTTGGAGAGTGAGTTCAGAGGAGTGAGGTCTTGCAGCAAAGATGTATGTATTTTAAGCTTCTGGCTACGGTTGCCATCTTGCTTTCCAGAACATTCGTGCTTCTGGATGCGAGTCCCTCTTCCCTGCCCCCCGCCTCCCGGAACGCACGACCGCGAGCATCGAAGGTTATTAGCTTCTTCGTTGCTTTTTCCGAGTTTGAGATTCTCACCAGAGTCATGCTGTGGAGTTTGGCAAAGTCCCTCAAAGCAGAGCTGGGCTCCCGTTCTGCCAGAGACAGGCTTTTGCCAGCTCTCGGAGGAAAGAACACTCATCTTCAGTGACATCTAGGCAGGATGAGACCTTGGGACGCCCTCTCGTCAACTTCTTTGCACCCTTTTTGGATCAAGCTGTGCAGCCAAAAAAAAAAAATATATATATATATATATATATGTGTGTGTGTGTGTAAAGATCTATATTCCAGCCCCATCCTCCACATGTATGTACCTGTACTCCGCTGGGTGTGTTTCCAGATGCAATGCCTGCCCTGACTTGCATATAGGATGTTTTAGATTCTTTCCTTTCATTGCATATCCTTTGTCAAATTTTATTGCCTATCCTTTGCCATGAGCTGCCACTCTGATTTCACATGGTTTGAAGAGACACTGATCTAACTGATCCTGCTGCCTCCGCCTCGGCCCCCTCCTGCCCCTCTGAGGCAGTGAAGGGTCAGTGTGCCAAGCCCTGCTTAGAGGCCAGCCTCGGAGCCAGGACCTGGGTCCTCAAAAGCACTGACCCTGTTCTCCCCAATTCTTGTGGCACTTAGGGCTGAGGCCAGCCTCACTCAGATTGGATGGGAAAGGACTGTCCCTGGGCTCTGAGTCTCCTTGCCGTCAAATGTCACCTCTGCTCTTGCTCTCGGTAGCGGTGCCACTTAGGCACGTTTTGATTTCGACCTTTTTGAGGAGTGGCTTTGTTCTTCAGGGCTCCGTCTGTCAGCTGCCGGAGGGCGGCTCCTTTACCTGTTTGCTGCCGGCACTTTTGCTCTCAGGGTGAGAGGTCCGTGTCTAGCGTACAGGGGGTGCTCAGTAAATATTTTGGTCCTTATCCTCATCTGTGTCCTGCTCATCCTCAGGCCCAGCCCCAGATCCCCCTCAGGGCCCTTCCTGGACCTTCACACGAGGGGACCATTATGCCCCAGGCTACATACATCCAGGGACCCACAAGGTCTGCACCACTGAGCCCCTGGTCACCTCTGCAGCCTCAGCCCCTGCTGGCCTCAGCCTGTGTATATCATTCCATACCTGTGGCTGTTTCCTTGTCTAGTTCCTCACCTGCCTGTGACCTGCCTTCCAACACCCCTGTTGTCCCCTCCCCTCGGGGACACAAGTGCACCCCCTGTTGCACCCCCCTCACTCACCTTACCTCTCCCACCTGGAGTTTCAAGTGCCAGACAGCAGCAGGATGCCCTTGCTATGAGTCTCCACCAGAGGGCAGCAGCGGGCCACCCTGGAAGGATCCATCTCTTCTTCCCTCCCTTATTATACTCAGTTCCTTGAAGCTTCCAACCTTCTCAGGAACTGGACGGTTCCATCCGTTTCCTGTCCTCTGCCCTAACTAAAAATGTTGTCTTAAACTAGGATCTTTCCCACCAGCTTATGACCTGAGGGTCATGTGCTACTACTCTTGAATGCCTGCTGTCCACCCGGAGCTGGGGCGATGGGGTCAGAGGTCTTAAACTCTGGCACGTGGGGGTGCATCCCGGCGCTCTGTGCATGTCTGTTAAGTGACCGAAGGGTCACTTAAGGGAGGCCAGATTGCCTGCACTGGGCCAAGTGTGGGTAGTCAGTCTGTCTGTCCGTCTCTCTCTCTCTCTCTCTCTCTCTCCTGTTAGAGACTAGAGATGTCAGTAATCTTGAGTTTGTCCTTGGGTTCTGGGGAACCTTATTTCCCAGTGCCAAGGAGCCCCAAAGGTAAGGAGTCTTACCTTTTTGTTCCTTCTCCTGGTTTGTTAGACCAGCCTTGCCAAAATGACACCAAAGAATAGTCACTTGGCAAGCTCAGGGGACCCGTCAGGGCATCCGATCCTTTCCTCATCACGCCCTGGTGTCCTGAAACCAGAAAGGTCCATAACTCAGTGTGCAGAAGGCTTCTCATGAGGCACATGCTAAGCTCTGCACATGCGTGTACAGATGTGTTCCTAGGGTGCTTGTGTCCCCGAGGGGAGGGGACAACTGGTAGATGATTACCAGGATCTGTCTACACCTGAGGCAGTGTGTTCGAATGAGCAGGTGAAGGGGTCCACCGTTGCTTTCTGGGCAGGGGGGGGGGCAATTGCCACCTTGAACAGGGTCGGAACCAAGACCACCCGCTTCACTGCTTTCTCCTTTTATTTTTGTTTTTTTAATTTTTTTTGATTCTGGGGATTGAACTCAGGGGCACTCGACCACTGAGCCCCATTCCCAGCTCTATTTTGTGTTTTATTTAGAGACAGGGTCTCACTGAGTTGTTTAGGGCCTCACTAAGTTGCTGAGGCTGGCTTTGAACTCGTGATCCTCCTGCCTCAGCCTCCCGAGCCACTGGGACGACAGGCACAGGCCACCGTGCCCAGCTGCTTTCTCCTTCCTGGTCCTTCGTCATCTGCTAACAGCTCAGAACTTGGGGTCTGACAAACTTGGGTTCAGATTCTGGCTCTGCTGCCTATTAGCTGTGTGATTTGGCCATTTCACAATTCTATGACGGTGCTTAGTCTCCTAAGCAGTGGGCCGGGGGTGACGATCTCTTCTGCGTCTTTGATTGCATGAGAGGGTGCAGGAAAATCAAAGGGTCTTGGCTGAATTAGTACATGATAGTTCTTATTGTTATTCTCATGATTGTGACCATCACCACCACCAGCACCACCACCCCCACCACCATCATCATCACCACCATCACCACTATTACTATGATCATCACCACCATCACCATGACCTCCATATTCCTATAACCACCATTCACCATCATCACCACCATCACCGCCATTATCATCATTATCAACATCAACATCATCACCATCACCACTATCATGATCACCACTATCATCATGACCACCACAATCCCTAACCACCATTCACCATATCACCATCACCATCACCACCATCTTCACCATTATCAACATCACCAGCATCAACAGTACCATTGTTCACCATCACCATTATCACCATTGTGACCATGACCATCACCACACCATCACCGTGATCACTACC